TGTTCATCTCTAAGCTGTTAATGATTTGTAATTGTTATGAATCCATCCATGAAAACAATATTTAAGAAGGGTTTATATAATTGGGCTAATTCTGCATGAGGAATTCACTTCATACTCACCCACTGTGGCTAGATGTGACTAAAATAGTAGAACTTTGCTCGAATGGATGATGTGGCATAGCAATCAAGATATGTTTAACTTCCTCCCAGGCACTGACTACTAATGTATGCCTCCCTCTTTAAGAAGGGATATGGCTTTAGGAAAATAATTTCTAGGAGTAGAACTGTGAAAGCAGCAGGAGATATTTTTGTTACACTAAATCCATAATGTGATTTCCAGTGACATTGCCTATAGCTCCCCTGCAGGCTTCGTTGAAGGACACAGCCATAGTCAGCACCATTGCCACACTCATCAAAGGTGCAGTGGGCAGAAGCCCTCACTGGCCTCTTCTTTCCGAAACTAAAGGGGGAAGGTAGAGTCCTCGGGCGATAAGCAGAGAGCAGTTTCATAACAGGCACGATTTTTGCTGTTAGTCCTTACTTGTAGATACTCAGAATTTGGCCATTTTATCATGGTTTTTAATTTTAATTCTGAAGCAGCTCATCGGCATTGTGTACCGATAACTGCTATCTTGATTTTTATTTTAAACATCTGTGCTGGTCAATGAAAAGCCATAAAGCTTAAATGTATTTGTAATTATAAATATATCACATTTGTACAGAACAAAATCTGACAATACCAATGCTATCTTCTAACTTTAAATCCGATGGAGAGCAATGGTAAAGAATCTATAATAAAATCTAAGGGTGTTTTTCTCTCAGTGTTCTATCAGTGAGGAGCATGGAGCAGAGAGCCTGTCCTTTAGGCTCCCTTTTAAGTCATAAAGAGCCATCAAAGTATGCTCACGTAATTCTCTGAGAAAGTCAGAATACCATGGAGCTACGGTACTCTTTATAACCTCATTCAGCTTGTCTTAAAAACGGCTTATCTTCACCCACAATAGGAACTAGATAAAATCAGTAGTAGAACTACAATATAATAATGCATTGCATGTAATAGAATTACGGCCTGGAGTACAAATACAAGAAAACTGCAGTGAGTGGAAATGAAGGATTCAAGTGTGCTATTTCTCTGGGGCCATTTTATTCTATCTTAAAGTACAATCATTTGTAAAATACAGTTGTATGCTATTTACAACACAACTGAAGTACATAGGTACACCAGCAAGTTTTATTAAGTAAATAAAGTACACTGTACATCTTGAGTGGCTGTTGCTCTCAGTATAGTGGGTTAATATGTAAATAATAGCTATGGTCCTTATGAAGAGCTTTGGAATCAAGCATTTTGCAAGAATCCTAAAGTAGTTGCATTAACTTAAACGATCCCATTTTGTCCAGCTGACAGTCTCTGCAGTCTTACTGGATGTATCTATATATCTATGTGCATCTAGGTCAAGAACAAAAGTAACATGAAAACCAAGGCCGCTAATTTCATAATCTCACCAAATCTTAGAACGAGAAGTCTGAGTTACACTGCATCTCATTCCTTTTTTTTAAGACAAGGTCTTACTGTGAAGTTCAGGCTAGCCTTGAACTTACTATGTATGTGTAGTCCAGGCTGGCCTGAAATCATAGCAGTCCTTCTGCCTCAGCCTCCTGAGTGCTGGGATTATAGACCACCATGGCCAGTTTCCATCCCATTCATTTTAAAAGAGGAAACAAGCCCAGGGAAATTAAATATCTTAAAGTGTACAAGTTTTTTCTACTTTCTGCTGTACATCACTGTTCCCCAAAATTACTCAGTCCTTGGCAGTATTACACTCCAGTCATGAAAGTCACCTATGAGTTACAGCTAAACTGTAGGGATTATATATGCAGCAAGTGAGCTTCAAAGTTTAATGAGAGGACTGCGATTTTGTCATATGTAGATAAAGAAGTCCCTCGACTCAAATTGGCTTACAGTGGGGAGTGAGAAAGGTTATAAAACCCTAGTTCATACTCACTAACCAGAGATCATTAAGCTGCTGCGCTGGAGTTTAGGAGAATAACACCTTACAGGGCAGTGGTGGCAAACCTACGGCACAAGTGCCATCACCCCAGCCAAGGGGGGTGAGAAGTTATCAGCATGCATACAACAGCAAAGATCACAGTAATTGTGCAGAAGCATGCCAGAGGCAAATTTTACCTTTCAATAAAAAGCTGTTCATATCATTAAAAGCTCCACTACTGTGTTTTTCATTTAAGACAAAAGATGTTAAGGTATGAGTTTTTTCTAAACTAAAACCTCAGTGTTCAGGTTTAACTGCAGTGCTGGCACTTGGTGATAAATAAGTAGGTTTGGGCTGCATTTGGGCTCCCGTCTCTTAACAGGTTCGTTGTCACTGTGAGGGGGTGCTGCCTTACGGGGATGTTTGCCTCTTGATAACCAGGCAGTTTCACCTACTCTATTAACCTGTGTTTATCAGACTATGTTTGGGGTTTTCTGGAGACCCAGAATACTTGTTTCTCTAGCTCACATGCAGAGGTACTTGAAAAAAATAAAGGATGTGTGACAAGCAGATACCAAAATACTGGTTTCATTACCAACACTATGAGCACAAGGAGATCGTGGCCACATATTACAAAACTTCTTGCAACTGCCCTCAAAGAGAGCCTTCTCTTTAAAGGGAAAAAGTATTAAACTCACGGCTATAATTTTAATGAGGTTCATTTTACATTTTTAAAGAAAAAAAGATCTTGTTTAGGAGAAAAAAAATATGTATTATTCAGTAAAATGTTAGATCTTTCATATTGGAAAGAAACTTTAAAAAGAAAATATAAAAATACTTGGGTTTGTCAGTGTGATATAGAGTGATATTCACTTATCCTTCCTTGATAAATCACATATTTTCTAAATAACAAAATTATTTTCTAAATAACAAAAAAATAATCTTTTAGGCAGGAGATACATTTTGTTCAGCTATAATTTTAAAAGTCAAAATGGTGAGTTGAGTTTCTTGGGCTTCTGTCATACTGCTACAGTATTGTTTTATGGAAGGGAAATATTAAGCTACAGTCTTTTTTTTTTTTTGAGATAGGTTTTCACTATGCAGTTCAGGCTGGCTTTGAACTGACTTTGTAGCCCAGGCTGGCCTTAAACTCCCAGTGATCCTCCTGCCTCAGCTTCCTGAGTTCTGGGATTGCAGGCATGCACCACCATGCCCAGCTTAAACTGTATTGTTAATGTTCAAATTTTTTGTGTCTTTACACCTGAGATACTTTGTTACTGTGAGTTTGGTCTCCAGTCTAGAGCTTCATTTCATAATAGAAATAAGCGTATTTAATCGTAAGTCATTATAACAAATATTTACATGTACAAAACGTGTCAAATAGAGGAGTATAGCATGTGACAGACACATTTGGGAGTAACCACCGAGGAGACCTAGGGGTTTTTAAAGAGGGTGACAATGATTATTTTGCAAGATGAGTAGGTAATCACCATGAAGGCAGGCGAAACTGAGCTGAAAAAAGAACTTGTAGAAAATATGAAATGGCATTCTGTGTATTCTGTATAACTTTATGATCTTTTTAAAAACTTCTGAAATTTAGAAAAGTGGATTTTTTTCCCTTTTTCACTATAGGAAAATGTCCATAAGCATGAAAATGACCGTGTTAGAGCACGAAGCTCAGTGACCAGAAGTGCGTCCATGTTGCTATGCATCCATCCCCACCATCCATCTCCTGAGCTTTCATCGCCCCAAAATGAACCGCTGTCCCCTTCAGTGTTAATTCCCCATCCCCTTTTCCTCCAATTTCTGTAACCCTTTGTGATGGTTTGTGTCTGGATGTCCCCCCAAATCCTCCTGCAGTCACGGGGCGGGCTTCTAGGATTTGTGATTGATCCATGGTGCAATGCTGGGATTATGGGTGTGAGTGCTACACCCGCCCTGGGGCGGGTAGTTTGCATACAGTATAAGGGAGGGACGGAGGCTGCTTGCCACCATTCCTCCCTTTTGCTCTTGTTGCTTTGCTGTCCTCCGCCGCCATGAACAGTTGCCCTCTGCCATGTGCCACGCTGCCTTGGACCAGCCCTGTATGGACTGAAATCTCCACAAACTGTAAGCTAAATAAACCTCTCCTTCCTTCATTTTGCACTTCAGGTATTTTGTCCCAGCAATGGGAGAAAAGTAACCAAGATACCCTTGTTCTACTTTCCACCTCTAGAAATTTGCTTCTTCACGTCCCTCATAGAGGCACACACACAATAATTATGCTAAGAAATAATTCTATGATACAACATATAATCACACAATAATTATGCTAAGAAATTTTAGCTTATTTCACTTTGTGTAGTTTCGAAACTTCATCCATGCCGTAGCATGTAACAGAATCTCATTTGTCCTCGTGGCTAGTATTCCATTATTGTATATAAGTGCGTTTTGTTTATCTGTTGATGGACATTTGGGTTGTTCCTACCTGCTGGTACGGGTAATGCTGCTATGAACATCAGTATGGAAGCCTTATGTGCATTTGTGATTCTACTCTTCTGCTTTTGGGTATATACCTAAAAGGAGAATTGCTGAATCATAAGACAGTTCTGTATGCTGAACTTTCTGAGTTGCCACCAGTTCTTTGCATCATCTGCAACATTCTACATTTCCATCAGCAGCATATGGAGGGTTTCTGTGTCTCTTCATCCTTGCCAGTGCTGTCTTCTAAAATGGTACAAAAGTTTGCCAAACTATACAGCAATTCCGTAAGAACCACAGGAAGTGCATTTATGTTGCCACTATATTGAAAGTGACTCTTTGGTGCCCAGTGTTAGAAAAAGTTTGTATGAGACAGCATCTTGGGGTTTTGACATTTGTCTTACTGTTTGTGTAGCAGAGTGTGTTTATGGAAAGGCCTTGGAGGTAAGAAATTACTCTACAGAGTCAAATTCTTCAATGTAAAATGAACCGTGATGAGTTTGTAATCTGTGAGTCTCTGTTCTTAGCAACACAGTCTTCTGTTTTCACACAGCTCCCTGCACAGGCAGCACTTTCTTCTGCCATAGCAACATGTGCATCAATAACTCCCTGGTCTGCAACGGCGTTCAGAACTGTGCGTACCCTTGGGATGAGAATCACTGTAAAGGTGAGTCCAGTGTGAGGGCAGCCTTTGTACGGAAGGAATGACCGAAGCCTTTCATCGGGAAAGGTTTGAAGGTCCTTTTCTACTACTGTGTCTAGCATAACTGCTTGAGCAGAAACAGCGGTATGTAAATTTTTAATGGCCAGTAGACCTCTGGAATGTGGTAAAAGCAAAGAAAAGTACGCTCAGAAAAATCCTCTTTGTTGAGAGTTTGTATTTCAAGTCATTCAAAAGTGTATTGTGGTATTTCCTGCCCTTCTGTGTTCTTACTGTTGAAAGTTATCATCTGTATTGTAAATTTATCTTACTTAGTTATCAAAATAATTTAGAGAATAGCCGCTAGAGTATTGTTCTTTTTTTTTTTTTAATTACATGGGAACACTGGTAAAAATCACCAAAGAGATTCACTTTTGCAGTGTGAAAACAGAGCCATTAGGAGAACTGGTTTTTCCACTGAATTTCCTATGCTGCATTTCCAGTGTGTTCTGTGTGGGACATAAATATGGCCGTGTTAATAATTGAATGTCTGCAAGTTGTGGCAAAGCACTCTCTCAGAACTAATACTCATTTGCATCCTTCCAAGAGTTCAGTATATGAAAAGGTGGTTGCATTAAGTACTAAGCATGAAATATTTTCAGGTGATCATTCAAAAACAGTAGACCAAAGTGGTACACCTGGATGGGCCAGTCTGATCGTGTTTGCTTTCTCTTCTTGGCGGTCATCAGTAGAAATACTGATGCTGTGTAAAGAGGAGTTGGCCAAACCTGCCATACAGCAGAAAACTGAACTTCAGAATAAGAGTACTTTGGAATTTTCTATACTACTGTATTTTATTTGTTTTGCAAATTATATGTTTTTATATACCCTTTGAGTGTTCAAGTATGTACTCTCTCTTTTCTATAACGTATCTAGCTGTATTGTGATTACCTAGAAGTTATAATAATAGGATTGCTATATTTGAGAGTCTCTAGTTGCATTGTCTGTGATATATTTGACCCACCCAGGTTTTCTTTACCTAAAAATACCTTACCGGTCAGTGCTAGGACTCCTATTAATGAACTTTGAAAACTTCAGTGTTTCTTTTTCTTTTTCTACAGAAAAGAAAAAAGCTGGACTATTTGAACAAATCACAAAAACTCACGGAACAATTATTGGCGTTACATCAGGGATTGTCTTGGTTCTTCTCATTATTTCTATTTTAGTACAAGTGAAACAGCCCCGGAAAAAGGTCATGGCTTGCAAAACTGCCTTTAATAAAACTGGGTTCCAAGAAGTGTTTGATCCTCCTCATTATGAACTATTTTCACTAAGGGACAAAGAGATTTCTGCAGACCTGGCAGACTTGTCAGAAGAATTGGACAACTACCAGAAGATGCGGCGCTCGTCCACTGCCTCCCGGTGCATCCATGACCATCACTGTGGGTCACAGCCATCCAATGTCAAACAAAGTAGGACCAACCTCAGTTCCATGGAACTTCCTTTCCGAAATGATTTTGCACAACCACAACCAATGAAAACATTCAATAGCACCTTCAAGAAAAGTAGCTACTCTTTCAAACAGGCACACGAGTGCCCTGAACAAGCCTTGGAAGACAGAGTAATGGAAGAGATTCCCTGCGAAATTTATGTCAGAGGGCGAGAAGACTCTGCACAAGCATCCATATCCATGGACTTCTAATCTCCACTAAAGGTGACAGTAATTATTAAGTGTGTGCATATGCAGCCTACAGAGCACCCGTTCTGTTTGCAGCAGTCCTTTCTCCCATCAAACCTAAAAAGACCTTCATCTCCTGTTCACCTTGGTAGAAGTGGTTTTTATTTTCTCAGGCGGTAATATATGGTACACCAACCAAGGAGCTTACTGTATTCACGGGACACTCATCACCTCCTATTGCCTGGCGTCGTGTGAGCAAAGCACCAAGTTAATTAGCAGTCGGAGCGGGCAGAGGTTGTGCTGAGCCGGGCTCGGGAATGCTGCTCCTGACTGACAGAGCTTTGTCACTATTTGAATCCCACAGTAAATTTAAAAGTAAGTTTTCTTACGTTCCTTTTATTTGTCTCTCAATTTAATTTACTGTGGGTGCCTGTGGTGTCACCGCTTCGGCTTCTCACGTGGGTGGTTCTGTCGCGTCCTGCACTTCAGCACAGGCCCTTGCTCCTCAGTTTCCAAGACACGGTTCCCGCAGTAAGTGCCAAGTAAGACTCATCCCACGTGTTTCTTCTTGACTAATTTCTATAGTCCTGCCTTTTAGTGACTGGCTACTTAGTCCTTCCTTTCTGTGAGAAGTAGGTGATAGGATTTGTTACTTTTAAATCATATTTTTCCTAGTTACACTAGAAAATTTTGTAATCCTGGGATGTATGTGCTATTGCTGCTATGACAAAGAATTTGACAAAGATAAAAAGTTCTAGCAAGCCTTTAAAATTTCCTACATGTGGTCACGGTCAGTGACGTCCCTTTCGCTTCACAACGGTCATCTCATCCACTTGTAGGGAAGCCTGTAATTACGTTCATTTGCAGCATTTCTCTCTACCAGATCAAGGTTTTCTGTTATTTGTGTAAAAACAGTTACTTTGCTCCCTTTCTGTTGGTTCATTTTTTTTGGCCTATGGTAACCAAGGTTGTATGAGAGTTAAAGGAAAATTCTCTGAAAAACTGTGTGCGTTTAAATTGCTTCTTTCTTGGGACAGTACATTTTTCTAGCTATTATCAAAAATAACAATTTGAACTTTTTTTTAAACTGCACTTTTGACCTTATGTTTTTTATGGTATATAAAACAATAATTTATAAACATGCTATAAAAACTCTTGTGTTTTTTTAGACTTTTGATATCATTTGATACTGTACAATCTTTATTAAATCTAAATTAAAGATCTACACAACAGATTTCTTTCACTGTTCACATTAGAGGCTTTGTATGCTGTGATGGAACTGTTTGCTCTAATTTATTGTAAACATGTTGGTATATGTACATAAGCTTTTTCTTTCCTTTTGTATTTAGTTCATGATGGTTTTTCTCTATGTGGTATTTATTGCTCTAAGTCACTACAACAAATATTAAAATATGCATTGTTACTTGATCCGTCAATCATGTTATTTTTGGCACTGAGATTTTGGATCTTAAGATACGTGTAGAAGGGACTTCATTTATCACGTTATAACTCATAGATGTGCCATTTAAGAGATAAATTTTTATTTTCTACATTTTTGTAGTAAATTTTCACTGACATGGGATGGAAGTTTCACTAGGTTTCATTAATTCTTTTAAATATTGCAAAGATAAGTTTTCAAATGACTTTAAATTTGATATTTAACAAAATACTGCCTCAAAGTGTATTTCCTGTAATTTTTTTCAAATTCATCTTTTTCAATTGTTAGTAGTGCATGTTGGCAGTGCATAAAGATTATATTCGTCATGGGGAGTCGGCACATTTTCCTAACACATCTTAATTCTTGTCCTTCCCCTTCCCACCCCTGCTTCCATCCCTGGTCCCCTTCCCACCCCTGCTTCCATCCCTGGTCCCCTTACCATTTGCAAAACGTCTATCCAGCGGTTTCCTATTATCTTTTATTTTGGCCTTTATGTACACTTCGGGTTTCTCATGTAAGAAAAGCCATGTGATGTGTAAACTTGCATGTCCAGTTTATTTCACTTAACATTATTGTCTCAAGATGCAGCCATTTTCCCTCAGAGGACTCAGATATACCCTTTTTATGATAGAGTAGTACTCCACGGTGTATAAATACCACATTTCTGTATCCGTTCATTTGTAAAAGTTACATTATATCCAGGAGGTAAGAAAATCTACACATAGTATTTTCGTGATTTAATCTTTTTAAGTTAACATAATTCTCTATCTTCAAAACAAGTTGGAAAAGTGAAAAGACTTAATGTATTACTCATTGAACTAATACCAGAGACGGATTGGATAAGTAAATTCTTTCAGTAGCAAAGTTGACTAGGCATTTTAACAGGGGTGCCAACATTTGAACAACATAATATAACAATAACTATTATCTCATTCTTCGTGGTACCTGAAATTAGCATAATTTCTATATCAAGTTATTACAAAAGCCACTATTAAATCCATCTTTAATCTCTAGTTATAGTAGAAGATAATACAGTATGCCTAACTATTTATACTTTTGAAACTTGCATCCTATTTTAAAAGAGTTTGATGAGACCTATAAAATACAAAGCCTTTACAGAAGATGTTCAACATTAAAACATCACAGAAATACATGATTTTATGCAGCTCAGCAAGCAAACCTTGGATGGCAGATTTGGTTCTAAATTTCTGGCTGCTCAAGTGAAGGAAACAGTTTTTTCTTTTCACAATGGAAAGTACCATCCACGAAGGCTAATTTTCGCTAAGGTTTGAGGATCTTTATGTAGGATGTTTCCTCAGAGTCTTAAAAAATGCACAATGCAAAAAAAAAAAAAATGCACAATGCAGGAAAAATCACAATGTAAGTCCTTAGCTGGTGAAGGCACAGCTTCGTGGAGTGTAGGAACATTTTCTGATGAGTCCATTTGCAGGGCTGGAACCAGAGAATCGATAGCTGACACTGCCACGTATATGTGCCACCTTTGAACATAGCATTAGATCTTATTTCTTAGTTAAGCATTTTATCTGTATTTTACAGAAAGAGAACTGAACTAGTAACTTTTAGATGTTAGTACCAGAATAACCCTAATACTGTATATTTAGTCTTTGATATCAGTGAGAAAACTTTACAAATTATTTGCTACAGTGAAAGCCATAAATTTTAGTGATAAAACCTGAAGTTTAGCCATCTGATAGGAGTGATTACACAGTGCCCCGGTGTTAGAGATGCAGTATCTTCTAACACTAAACACAGATCCAGAAGGTCAGTGTTTTCAGTTAAGGATCGGTATTGCCAGTGTATGGCCGTAATCCCAGAACTCGGGAGGCTGGGGCAGAAAGATCCCTTGAGGGTAAGAATCCAAGACCAGCCTGAGCAACCTAGCAAGACTCAGCTTTTTAAAAAGAACAATTTTATTATTGTTGCTGGGAATCAAACTCCAGGCCTTGATAGCCACCACTCTCCTACTGAGCTACATCCACAGCCCTAAAAAGGAACCTTCTTACATAGCAAGGGATCCTTTGGTGGAGGGAACATATTCAGTGTAAAAGTCTAGCTTTAAAAAGCAGAGCCTTTTCACATCACAAAATTAAAAACACTCCCTAAACTTCAAGTTCATGGGTCTTACGTCAGTGTCTTTGTCATGTTTCATAAAATTATTGGCTGTTAAGCTCCTGAGTGTCTGGCACCGAACACTGTACAGTTGCTGCCTGATGAGAAGGGTGCTTCTTCATTTCAGGAGTGTATCAGCCAATGACACGCTAGGAAAAGCCTGGCTGCGACTCTGCGGATAATTCCTAAAGGTGATTGATTGTGTGCTCATTGCAAAATGGGTTGTGCTGGATTGTTCATGTTATTTTCTTGCAAGATCAGAAAATAATAAATGAGTCCCATCGATTAGACCCAGAAGGAATTTAGTATTTGGTGATCAAAGAAAGACAGTCTGATCCAGCTTTGTTCATGAGAAGATGGAAGCCCGCAGAAGTGAAGTGAGTACTGCACCTGTCTCAGCCTCCCAGCCCCATGTCTCCCCGTACCCCTCTCCCAGAATCTGTGGCCAAGATTCAAGCCCAGCCATTCCAAACAACCCGCTAGATGTAAAACTTGTCAGTCATTCTGATTTAAAATGTAACTCTTACCATCTTTTCAAAACATTATATTTCCCCTTTTTATTTATGTAACACCATGTTCTATAGACTTGCTACCGTAATTCTTTGGGGCTTACAACTGTGCAAGCAGTTACTGTGAATTCTTAATAAACAGTGTTTGTTAATAATACATAGGCTTGATATTATAAAACGCTTCAGTGTTTTTGCTTTTGTGATTTTTTTTACCCTAAAGGAAATAATGTATACTGTAGAAATTAAACGTGTGTACTGTATCTCTTGAGTTTTGGAGAATGATTTGAGTCTGAGCCCCCCTAAATGACAAATTGCCCCTAAGTATCTCTTTTAGCTTCCTCTTCTAATAATTTGCCTTCCTTTATGAACTTTTTTCAGGTATGTTTCCATATATTTCAGTGATTACTTTAATGGCTGCAGAAGCCCAGGAGTCCCACTGACGACTGGGGTGCGTGTTTGGCATGGACTATCCAGAGTCACTTTCTGGGGGCTGGGGATTTAGCTCAGCAGCACAGCACCTGCCTGGCAAGCGCAACATCGTGAGTTCGATTCCCAGTACCGGAAAAAAACAAAGAGTCATTTTCTGAACACAGGACATTTTTATTAGAGACGACCTCTAGACCAGTGGTGGCGCATCTGTGTGTGGTACTGTATCTTCCTTTAAGACAAAAGATGTTAATGTAGAGTTATTTTTTCTAAACTAAAACCTCAATATTCAAGTTTAATTGCAGTGCTGGCACTGTGTGATAATTAAGTGGGTTTGGGGTTGCAGTTGAGTTGGCATCTGAAAGGTTTGGCCTCACTGATGTGGACCATACATGAATTCTCGGGCCGAGGCAGCTGTCTCAGTTAAGATGAAGCTTCTGCTGCTGCTCTGGTGGCGGCGTCAGAGTGGTCCTGAGCGAGGCCTCGGCCAATCTGGACGGTGTGTCCAGCAAGAGACTGAAGACGCAGTACACCACAGGGCCGCTGCTCAAGTTCCAAATTTGTATTTCCTGAGGTTATCAGCGGGTGTTTGAGGAGTGCATGAGGGTTATTAGCCAGTGGTACCCAGACATCTGAATTGAAGGAGTGAATTACCTCCCTCAGCCAATTTATAGACCCATAACATCTTTCCTATCAATCTTCAAACTCTAGTATTAATAGTCTTAATAATTGTTGGCAAGGATCCTTTGCTTTCCTTGGCGTGCAAGCTCCTAGCATCTGGCAGTGGGACCAAGAAAATAAGGTCTTTGCCTGTATGATGGTTTTCTTCTTGAGCAACACGGTGGAGAACCAGTGTATGTCTACAGGTGCATTTGAGATAACTTTAAGTGATGTGCTGTGTGGTCTAAGCTGGAATCTGGTCATCTTCCCCCCGTGCAACAACTCGTTCACATTCTTGACAATGACATGAAGCTCAATGTGCGTATGGATTCAATCCGACATCATCCGTCATAGCCCCACCTATCAGCACTGCAAACTCCTTTACATGAAGGAAGTTTTGCAAGAACAGCGTGACTGACATCATGAAGGCCTCCACTGAAAACAGCAAGCTGTTAGTACAGACCAGATGCCTTTTTGACTGGCTCGTTATACCTCTTGGAAAACCTCAGTGCAGGATAGTTTTTCAGGCTGGCACATTTTGGAATTCTGCACATTCATGGAGTATAATAATACTGTACATCCCCACCCCCATTCAACTAGTTAATTTTTTTAAATGTAGGCATTAGTACTACTTATAACTTTTCCTCAATCATATTTGAAAAAAGTAGAAATTGAGTTACAGATTTTTTTTTTCTCAAGATGTCTTTTAAGACTTTTTTTTTAATTAAAAAATTTTTAATAGTTTAAAGTTGCTCTTTTGGAGACTACAGCTGAAGTTCCCAAATACTTTATAAAGTTGATCAGACATCTCTAATTTGGCCATGTTTAATTTATATAGTTTTGAGAATATTGCTGGTTATGAACAGTGCAGTAGATAAGATTGTTGGGGGCGGGGGGTCCAGTATCCAGAGTACCAATTTCTGTGTGTGTGTGTGTGTGTGTGTATGCGTGTGTGATACTAGAGAACTACTACAAGCCAACTGCTTTTAAAATCTTATTCTGTAGTTCGTCTTGCCTTGACCAATCTAATGAGTTGAATTAGCTGGGCCTTGATACTTAACTAAATAAAAAATTAAGCAGATGTCAGTTTAAAAAAAAAAAAAATTCTCCGGTGCTCAGTCCTAGATTTGGCACTTTAAAGAATCTTTTTTTTTTTTTGGTACCAGGAATGGAACTCAGGACCTTAGGCTTGCCACGCAGGTGCTGTACTGCTGAGCTATATCCCCTGCCCCACTTTAAAGAATCTTAACCCTTGAACTGAAAATAAAAACTTCTGCTTTGATTTCCTTGCCTCTAAAGTCTCTAGCACTGCCAAAGAATTTAGGCAACTCTGGGCAGCAGAATTTCTTTCTAGGACAAAGTTGGCATTTACTAGATGCCAGAATAAAATAATCATAGTTACAGTTTTTGTAAAAAGCAACCTTGGACGTGCCACTTAGAACCATTTTATGTTCTCAAGTTCACAGTAGATGAACTTTAAAAAAAAAATTGCATTTTGTCTTAAGTTGCCTGCAGGACCGGGTCTGCTGCATCCAGTCCAGGAAGTGGCAGTGAGGACCTGCATAGTGGGTGGCCAGGACCAGGCTGTCCTGAGATGCAGAGTCCACTGGTCTTGGCCATCTCAGTGAAGAGGAAGGAGTAGTGCTCAAGATTAGTGTGCTGAGCGCAAAGCAGAGGAAGGTTAAAAACAGTCATGAGGTACAGGCCAAGAGTGAGAGAGGAGTAGCAGCTACCATGTCTTTCTCCACATGTACTTAAAACAGACTCACTAGATTCTGCACTGGGATCAGGAAATGGGTTTTATTTAAATGTGTTCTCATCCTCCAAGCTCTGTCATGCTCCACAACATTCGAAGCCACTGGAACTCTGGGCCGGTGAATATTCCGTTGAAATGTTGGGAGTGGCTGCTGGTTGCTAAAAGGAACTTTCTTCAGAGATTTTAGGTATTGAACCATGCTTTTCAAATTTTGTTTTATTTTTCTACCAATAACATTGTCCTGCTGTATTAAGTGGTCATTCAAAGAAGTATTCATACATTTTACACTAAAAAATAGTCACGTGAAGGGTGAGGGAGTTTCCTGCTGTCCCTCTGAGTAAGACTGAGAGTAAGCACAGAGACTGGCCAGCGCGCTGCTGCAAGGGCTTCTCCAGACCCGCACCTTCCCAGCTTGCTCGGGTACAGCAGCCTTCTCCTCCATTCTTAGCTGACGTTTGTAGGAAGCTTCTCAGGTGGACCCCAGCGACGTCTGCGTGCTGTAACTCACACCTGTGTGACCCTGTCCTGGAGTGTGGGCTGCACCTCGCCGTCTGCTTCCCAGGAACAGCAGGCAGAACAGATGTCGCCTTTGAGGTTAGGTGGCAGTAAGACTCAGCTTCACCTGCCATGCCCACTCCTACTCCAGTGCTTTCTTTTTTGTTTTTTTTTCCAGTACTGGGAATCAAACTCACGACCTTGCGCTTGCCAGCCAGGCACTGTGCCGCTGAGCTAAATCCCCAGGCCCTCCAATGCTTTCTTAAGAAGACCAATTGTCATCTTCCGAGGTGCCCCGCGGAGGACAGGAAGTGGGGATTTCTGTCCATCAGCTAACATAAAACTGAGGCCTTCATTCCACAACCTACAGAGAAGTAAATTGTGCCAACAGTACAGTGCCTTGGAAGGGGATCCTCACTTGGGGGAGCTTGAGCCACACCCAGATTACTGATGCAAAGTCACCATGGTAATGTTTGTTGTTGAAGCTATTACACTTGGGAGTAGTTTTGTATGCAACCATGGGTAGCTAATACAACACTAGGAAGAGAAGACAGTGGCATATCCCAGCTCCATAGTGAGGGTAAAAAGTTAGGGAAAGGCCAACCTGATGTTTTAATATTTACAGAAAAAATAATGGGTACATTGTGTTGATGAATCAGCTATTTTAGCCTCCTTATCCACAAATAAAAATATTTAATCAAATTCATGTTTTTCCTGAGGGATAGCAAACATACTGAAATTTGATTATTCTGCATTTGAAATTAAGTTAAATCCCAACTCTAAATGATGTCCCTTTTAAGTTATTTATTAATTCTCCTTCAAATGAGATGAAATTATCTAAAAATGAATAAAGGATACAATTCTACTATGATTCTATGAAAGTATTCCCATAATTTAGGCAAAGTCTTCCTATTTCCAATCACATTAGCAGATTTCCTAGACGGCAGGCCTGAATGATTCTTGGGACAACAGAGATACAAAACAAGGGAACAAGTGGAGGCGACTGTAATTAAAAAAAAATTACAAGCAAGCCCTTCCTTTCCAGAACCCATCCTGTCCCCCAAAACAAGAATTATGGCCAAAACATTTGTATTCAGACATTTTTTTCCTGTTGTGATGAAAAATAGATTTCCTGGAAGAGAAGGCTATTTTTGCTTTAGCAGAAGACCAAATCAGGATACTTTCTGAAATTGTTTTCAGTAGGTGGCTGACAGCCACAGAGACTTGCTATGAAAGATACAATTGTATCCTTAATTGTATATGCATCAATTTTTCCTTTGAATTTGAAGCTGCGGTGGCTGGCGTAGTTTTGACAGCGTTTTGCCCTGTGGATATAATTATGTCCTGAATCCTTTTCTAGTATTAGTCCATCAAATCTTAGTCTCTGAAAACAGGATAGTGGCTCTTGCTTTGGAAGCTCCACCTGTTCTGTGATCTCTACAAGAAAGGGACCGGATGAATGTGGCTACTCTTTTCTTTTTTTAATATTGAGGCACTAGGGATCAAACCGAGGGCTTCATGCATGCTAAGCACGGGCTGTACCACTGAGCTACACTGGCCCTGCCGCTGCCAGTCTTAAATGCTAGGTGGCAGGCGGTGACTGCTTCTGGAAGCCCTTCACTGAGCCTTTTGTCTTCTGATTTGGGAGAAGTCCCTGCCTTTCCACTAGGAGCCTTGGAAACATCCTGCACTTTTGAGTAAGGATATCCCACGCATACTGCGTTGCATTCTCCCTCACTTAGGGTTCTGGTCAGTAACCTTTCTTGATGATCCAGTCCCATCCCCCACTAGCCACAAATGCTTACAAATTTTTAAAGGAA